TATTAGTCACAATCATAACTTGCATTCAAAAGACATTAGTTAATTATTACTGATGAAAAAAATAGAAGATAAGAATAATTATTTAAGAAGTTTTATTGAATAAATAAATCAAATTAAATACATTAACATGTCTCTCTCCTATTTATACAGATTAGGAGGAAGATGATGCTCCTATCAAGTGAGACAGATTAGGAGGAAGGATATCTTCTATCATGCCCCCGTAAGATGAAGCTCCTGTCAAGTGAGAGCATAAGCGTTCCTTTCGTTCCCCTTAAGTCCGTCGATTGGTGGGAGGAAGATGAGGATTGACCGTGGAGCCTATTAGGAATTTGGCTGCAGCGGCGTTGGTCGCTAGCCGAAGGCAAGGGCGAATCTTATCTTCTATCAAAGACGCAAAACTTGATTGAACTCTTTGAATCCATACTAACGATCTTTGTCGAGCATCTTTTTGATATAGTTTTATATCTGGATTGATTTCAAATACTATGCTCATTCGATACAGTTTCCTTCCAATTGTTTTGAAGTTGTACGTATCATTCTCGCACGTTAAGCTCGATTACGTATCGTAGGTACTTGCCAACAACAACATACACTAATAAGATATTTGAAGTCTTAATTATAGTTTTAGGCTATTTAACACAAGACTTCAATTAAATATATTCTTTGACGCCCTTATCCTCTACAAAAGGACATTTAGAAATGGAAGATCCGGGATGGCATCTCCCATCCTCTTCAAGTCTCCATCTCAACAACCATCTCCTCGTGTTCCCTCGACCCATCTTTTTTTGTTTGGTGAGCCTTATCTCATTAAAATTCTACTACAAAACTCTCTGTTCCTCTTCCCATCATAATTTCTAATGTATCGTTTCTAGTAGCTAACTAACTTTATTATGTACTATTTCAGATTGAGCTAGATTCAGAATACAACAATCAACTATAATTAGACCTATACTTGATTCAAGATAAATGATTCAACTTACATAAGGATTTTAGTGAATAATAATTAGAGTAATTATAGATAAAATCATAAGATTTTAAAGACTAATATAAAACTTCAATCTTTTACTAATAAAACACTTGACCCAATTAAGCATAGGAAAAAAAAATATGTATAATAGATAATTTTAATTTACAAATCGGTGAAATATTGCACGAACACATAATATCCAACTTATTACAAATTACTTATGTAATTAGTTACTTTTAGTATTTCGATCCTTATATTTTTAAAAATTATATTGAGATCCCTATATTTACGAAAGCGAAACAATTTAACCCCGTTGCTATAAAAAAAAATTTCTCTCTTAATTTTTAACTTTATATATTTTAATTTTTAACCTTATTTGAGGATCTCAATGTTTCATTTACGTAAGTATAAGAATCAAAATGTTAAAGATAAATAATTATAGTAGTATATAATTAGACTCACGATATCACTATTATATTATTTTGGCAAGTGCCATAAAAATGGAGTTTTGAGATTTCACATTATCGAATTGAATTTTAGGTAGAATCATGAAAGAATAAAATTTAGATACCGGCAATTATGAATGAGGTTTAAATGAGTCAGTGAGTTGATTTCATATACCCAATTCCCAACGAATGAAGTTTTATAATTTGACACCGAATGAAGTTTTGATTAATTGTGATTAGAGAATGGAATGGTATGGAATCGAATTATAATTTTTAGAATTTGAGAAAGATTAGAGAAGTCATAATATCATTTATTCCCAACCCACATGAGTAAAAATAAAGTCGATTCCGACGACTTCATATGAACTTGTAAACACAGCTTAGATATATTATTAGACTGGGAAAGAAAAAGATTAATATCATTATTATTTTTGATTTGTTGATTGAATTTGAAACAAAGATGAGATTTTTGAGTGATGAGACGGATCTTTACTTTCTTGCCTCAGGCGACACAGATTTCAAGAAGAAGATCGATGAGAAGAAAAATGAAATGTAGCTATTTGTCTGCTCCCCATAAAGCTGTGAGGAGCCGTGCAGGTCTTCCAATATTTATCACCCACATAACGTGCCCTACGATGTCCCTAAATGATACGAGCAAGTGGTGGAGCCGGAGAGGCTGTCATCGACCACCGCCAAAGAGCTGTTGACAGGGCAAGGAATCCACCTTTTCATCACACCTACTCTGTCCATTTGTGCCACCATATCATGTTCTCATCTCTTTCTGGCTTCCTTTAGTCCATCTGGTACTCATAAAATGTGTGCAAAAGCTGCATTTGTTCCTCCTCAGGTGGTGATGCCCTCTCTCTCTCTCTCTCTCTCTCTCTCTCTCTCTCTCTCTCTCTCATGTGAGAAGATGCATGCTTTTCATAAGATCATGTCGCCCCCCCCACCCCTCCGCCCAGTATGCATGAGATTTTACGAGGAAGCTGAAGGGAAATGTTGTATAATGGTCTCTCTCTCTCTCTCTCTCTCTATATATATATATATATATATATATATATATATATATATGGAAATAGAAATGGAATTCAAACCCTATTTCAGCCACATCTTGATGTTATACATCGTCTTCAATCTTAATCAATTAATTAAAAAGCTATAAATAATATAGACATGATTACGCAAATCTTAACAAGACAGACAACAATTATTGTGAAGCAAAAACTGTAGAAAGAATTTTGTTTAATTTTTGAAGATGATTTTGGTAGTGTCCACATCGAATCGGACTTCAAGATGATGATCAATATCTTTAGTAGACAATTTCTTTCTCATTGTAGAATTTTAAATAATTTTAAATATTGTTAAAGACATGTTCCAACTGAAATATATTAATTATTAGAAAATAATATATATTCTGAGAAAAGAAAAATAAATTTGTGTTGCTAATCGACTGCCCAATCATATTAGTGCCTGCAAACCTTTTTGATTTTGGTTTGTGCTGACGCGAATGGATTATTTTCCATTCATCAATAAAATTCTCTAACTCTTTTTTATTTGAAAAACAAAACCCATACGTATAAATTCTTTATCATTTTTAATTAACACAATCAATATCCGATCATCATGATCGCATTCAAATCTTTTTCTTGTCAAGTCCATGTCTGAATCATCACATGTGTCATCATCCACAGCGATTGATTTCAACTCTCCAATATCAACAGGACGACAACAACACACAAGAATTGCCACACGACAAGAAGGAAGTCACAGTTTGCAACATCCATCTCACAATTTCCCGTGAAGTAAAGCATCCACAGATGTCTTTTTCTGATGAGGTTGATCTTATCATCCAATACACAATTAATCAGCATAATGAAAGATCAATTAAATCTGTTCTCCCATTCCAACGAGGATCCCGCGGCAGACAGTCCCTTTTATCTCGCTTAAACTTCCTCACAAGACTGACTATTCTTCATGGTGAAGGAAATCTTACGCAAGCCTGCATGCATGCACTCGGCCACTTCACGTGGTGGTGAGTCAGGGCGGGGAAAGGGGAGAGGAAAAAGCCGGGCTTGCAGCTTGGGGCGGCGCCTCCCCTCCCTCGTCCTCCCCTCCTTCCTCCACTCCACATGGTCAGCAAGTTATGATACTCTCCTCCTTCCGTCTGTAGGCCAAACTCTCCTTTTTCCACAAAGTGGGGGCATGATGGGACCTTGTGGTATCTCCTTGATCGAGGAGCCAAGGAAATGATGGGGCCATGCTGCATCACCATTTCATCTTGGTCTCATTACTGACATGATTAAAATGATGGAAAGAACAGTGGTGTAAAGTTGTTGATGAACACATTTGGAAGGATACGAACTGAGATATGAGTGATTCTAATCGTACTTCAGTTGGACAGATAGTGTCATTGACCATAGGATTAAAAGAAGAGAAGGAACAGTTAAAAGACGTGGGGAAAGTGAACTTTTTTGCTGAACTTATAATTTGATTTTTAATAATTGTTTGTACATGATTTAAATAGGTTAAACCTAAAAGAACAAAATTAATCAAATAGAAAACTTACCTTCATTTTGACATCAACTATACTTTTCATCACTCCTTTTCTTCTTCTTGGTCTCCATAGTTGCTACTTATATCGTGTATTCTAAAAGCGAAGCAAAGAGAGATAGCAAAAAGAAAAGAAGAGCAAATATTGGATTATCGAGCGTTTAGAGAATAGTGCTAACAATTAATACACCTTCCGTTGTTACATGTTATTACAAATTGTTCCTTCACAGTCAAACTTTTTTTGGTTGACTTGAAGTTAATGTTTCCCGTGACATTCTAATTAGTCATCAAATCAGAAAATTATGTTTAGTATTCTATCTTTTAATATTGGCTTTTTATTGAGATTTATTTATGTGATAAATATTTTGATCTCTCTTTTTTTTGGGGGCAAAGGATACATAACAAAGATAAGATTGAGACGTCACAAGTTACCATCTGCTAACCTATTTGGTGGTCAATTGAGATGTTGGCTTTTCATTAACTACCAACTAACCTATATTAATTGACGCAATTGCTTGCGTCATTATGCTGTCGGTTTTGAACTCCATCCTAATAATCAGACATACAGTAATTTCAAATTTGATATTTGATTATCATTTTTTTAAAAAAGAAAAATATATTACTAAATTAGAGAGAAATAAAAAGTGCTCACAGAATCAGAGCAAAACTAAAGGTAGAGGACCACTCTCTTCAAAAAATTATTATTATTATTATTATTATATATTTAGCATATTTGATCAATAAGTTAATCACCCACCTTATTTATTTTCTAAAAATATTATAAAAATTATACATATCAAAATTACCCAAAAAAAAAAAATCCAATACTATGGATAATGTTAAAGGAATGAGAATTTACGAATCATATTCACTAAACAATACATTTAGACTATCTAAAATCATATGTTGACTTGGGACAACGAACTATTACCACACAAATCAAACTACTTTCGCTGCTCTCCTTCAGTGGGTCCAATCGACGGGTTGAGTTCGGGCGCCAATATCTTTCCATCGTCCGTCGTCTTCACACACCTCTTTCTCTTGATCTCTCTCCTACTCATCCTTTCGTCGTTCGTCGTCCTCTCGCTGCGGGGAGGATGAAAGCCCACCAATACCCTTTACTTTCCGCTTAAATATGCTTTTTTTTTTCTTTTCAAAGCCCTCGCAGAGCTTTCGGTGTACTATAAATTTGCCCCATCGGTCGAGAAAGCATTCCTTCTTCCGTCCACCTTCCACCTGTTTTTAGCCTGCTTGTGTCGCCTCTTCCAAAGGAGAAGAGATTGTCCTCTCCGACGATGGGATTCACCGCCGCTGTAGAGATCAGCTCCCCCGCTGCCGATGCCCTCTTGCTCCTCCCCATTTAGCTCTCTTCCTCTTGCTGGGCCTCCAAAAGTTTGGCCTTCTGCTCTCATGGTCAATGACCCGACCGGGGTCTCTGCAGAACAATCGGGGATCGGCTGAGTGGGCTGCGGCTCCTTTCTTGACGTTCTGATTTGGTTTCGGGCGCAAAAAGAAATTGGATTTCGGAGGACTCTGAAATGCGTTGGTGTCCGGTGTTCTAAGCTTCAAGTTGTTTGTACATAATACCACCCGGTTGCCGGTCGGAGAAAATTTTGGTCTCTTCCGGAGGGTGCTGATTTTTCTGCTTTTGATTTTTGTGTTTGGTGTTTGGCTTTGGTTTCTTGGGATTAGAAGAAATCGGAAAGCTTGCCTTTATTTTTTTGGGTGGTGTACGTGTGTTCTCTTCTTGGTTGGAGTTTGCAAGAGATCTTCACAGGAAAGAAGAAATTTCATCGGAGAGAAAGGGAACTGCTAGGTTATTTTTATGATTGCGAGCAGTTTCGGTTTATGGGAGTAGCCAATTACCCAATTCTTGATCTGATACTAAAGGTCAGATCTTGGGTGAGCGTTCTTCCGGACGTCTGGTCGGACACTTTGATGTCGTCCGGCGGTGATCGTGCCATGTGCTGCCAGTGCAGAGACTGCTTGGGGTCGCCGGGTTTCGGGTACCGGTGCCAGAGCTGCGGCCGGGTGGTCTGCCGGAAGTGTGGTTCTGTCGCGAGGTTAGACCGAGCGGAGCAGCAGCGTGTTCTCTGCAAGCTCTGCTTTCGAGGTGACAATGGACCCTGGGAAGCAGCAGCGCAGCAACGTGTCAGCGCGAGCGAAGAAGTTAACCGTTTCGTTTCGCCGAAGTCGCCCCTCTCCAGATCTAGCACTGACAGGCTCGGCCAGTTGGCTGAGTCGCGGCAGTTCTCGTCCCCGCGGCGCCCTCTTCGTTGTTCGACTTACAGGCAATTCCCCCACTTTTTAGATCGTTCTTCTATTCTTCATGATTCGTTCAGTTGGTTCATCTTTTGTGCTGCTTTCTTGTCATTGTAGGAGTTACGAAGATGACGAGGGCGATGATGAGGGGAAGCACCTTTTCACCCCGATGAGCGTGTTGTCTCAGGATTACTCTGACATAGATTGCATGAGTTCCAGTGCTGGAAATGAGTTGTACAGGTCAGCGAATTCAAGTCCTTTCGACAGCCCTTCTAGGTCTGTTGAGCAAGGATCGGTTAGTCCTCTCTTGAGAAAGTGTGGAATTTCTGATCAAGGTTCTTTGAGCCAGTCAAGAAAATATGGAGCAGATTCTGAGGATTTGCTGGAGAATTCTGGTGATTGCGCTTCGGATAACCTTCGTGGATACATTAATCAAGAAAGTCAAAAGGCTCCACAACACTTTAACTTTGAAAATGATCGTATATTTTACCCTCCTCTCCCCGAGGACAAGCAGGACGACACAGAGACCAGTTTCTTTGGACATACTGACGAGGAGGATGATGTCGAGGAGTCGGACGAACTCTTTAAATCTAGTGAATCCCACAAGGAGGCTTTGAGGAATGCTGTTCATGCACATTTTAGGGCCCTTGTGTCACAATTATTGAAGGGAGAAGGTGTTCATGCTGGGAATGATTCGGAGAATCAGGACTGGCTGGAGATAGTATCCTCATTGGCTTGGCAAGCTGCAAATTTTGTCAAACCAGATACTAGCAAGGGAGGTAGCATGGATCCAGGTGATTATGTTAAAGTCAAGTGTATCGCATCAGGAAGTCCAAATGATAGGTATGAATTCTTTAGCTACTTTCTGTAACAGGGTGTTGATGACATGATATCCTAATTTCCTTTATAGTCGAGAAACTAATATGTGATCATTATTTAACAGCGCCCTAGTGAAGGGAGTGGTTTGTACTAAGAATGTAAAGCATAAACGCATGGTGTCGCAGCATAGAAACCCTAGGTTGCTTCTTTTTGGAGGAGCACTGGAGTATCAAAAGATCCCAAATGAACTGGCATCTATAGGAGCTCTGCTTGAGCAGGTTATAACCGTGGCTTTTGATACTCCGATGGGTCGTCCTTTTCTATATTAGTTTTGACTCAATTTTGACATACACAGGAAACCAATTACATGAAGATGGCTCTTTCTAAGATAGAGGCACTTCGGCCCAATGTGCTTCTTGTTGAAAAAAGTGTTTCCTCATATGCTCAAGAATATCTTTTGGGGAAAAAAGAGATATCTTTAGTGTTAAATGTCAAGAAGTCACTTTTAGAGAGGATATCAAGGTGTACTGGTGCTCATATTCTTCCATCCATTGATGGTGTTGCTTCAGCAAAGCTTGGACACTGTGAAATGTTTCGGATAGAAAAAGTGTACGAGGAATTCTCATCTTCCCGACATCCAAAGAAACCCAGTAAAACTTTGATGTTCTTTGAAGGCTGTCCACGGCATCTAGGGTGCACGGTAATGATGAATTTCTTGCATTATCTGGACTCAATGCAGACATGCAGATTTATCATCTGTTTTATCAGCCAAGGCATCCTCATCTGCTGCATACCTACTTGAATGGACACATCCAAGGGATAATTAATCTGAAAATATTGAAAAAGTTGATCCATCTGATTTAGCTTGTCCATATTCCTTCCTTGTATAGCCCAAAATTTGTATGCAATGAAGATTAAGGTCTTTTTGACTTTGTCAAGAAGTAGAGGTATAGAGTACATAGTAACATGCACTAAAGCTTGTTGCATTGATGAGTGATCTAGTTACAAACCTAATATTCATGGATAGCTTGTTGCAAGGATGATGTTGATCTAAATATATAACTCTTCCAAAATCCAACATGAAACTACAAACAAAGAACTTGCTAAAATGTCTACTTTAAAGCCTCTAGATAACCTAAATTAGATTTAATCCTGTTCCAGGCTGTAGTGAAAACTAATTGCTTGTATGCTTCCATTGCAAGTCGTAGTTGGTATTTACTATTTTGTGAGCAATTAAGATTGCCGAGCACCATTACTGAAATTAGATTCAACAACTTATTATGATTGGCTACCTGATGGATGTCAAGAATGGGTCTGAATTCCTGTTATATTTAGTTTCAGTCTAAGCATGACCTTTCACCAAACCTAAAAAGTTAGTGTGTCGACAGTTGCACTTATGATTTTGGTTACAGTTTGAGCTAGCAAGGCCTATTTGCAAAGCTCCTTTAGACCTAGAAACAATTAGTTTGGATGAGAAGATAAATCTGTTATTTAGTTTGAGCTAGCAAGGCCTATTTGCAAAGCTCCTTTAGCCAGTAGAACTCTTTTTCTTTTCCTTTTCTCAGTATAATGTGGTATCCCACACCGGCAAAGTTACTTGGGTCAAATACTAAGGCACCACCTCCATGAAAAAATTGGCTTTCAGGCCAGGGCCTCATTCAAAAAATGGAAGTCGTAATTGTGGCTTGAAGTACTTGTTTCAACGAAATCTTTTGTCTTTGAAGAGTTAAATGTATCATCATTGCCAGCATGCTCATCGAAGCTTTTTAGTTGATGTTTATCTATATGCATAATTCTTGTATAAATCATATTAGATACTTGCATTATTTTTCCTTAAAGAGGATATTGGTGAATTGATATTACCTTTCTGGTGTCAACGACTTCTTGCTTCTTTCTAGGGTGGTTTCCCACAGAACTTTCAACTATTTTGAGCTTGAAAATGAGAAGGCTTGGAATAAGAGATGCATCTTTTTAGTATGTTTTTAACTTGCATCACACGTGTAACCTTTAATGTTTGATAGGCCAATTGATGGCAGTCTCTTTCACTTTCTATCATTGCCTGTATATAGCCTTGAGAGGCTGGAGACGCAATGGGTCTGTCGATGCTTGTGTATTTCATTAGGAACTATAACCATAAATAATTCTTCCCTCTCTGTAGTCAGCTTTAATTTTTTTTCTTTTTCTCCATTTCTGCTCAGTATCTAAATTTGCTTCAAGTTTTGCTGGTAGTTATCCCAGCATCATTCTAGCTGCCTATGTAAATGGGACTTTCTTTCTGTTTACAGAGAGGGATGCAACCAGATTTGTATCCCCATTTATTCACATCCTCACCACATTCTAAGGTTTAGAATATTGCCAAAGGATCACTTTTTAAATTTAGATAGTTAAGTTGCAAGCACCCATTTAAGATGCATTTCAACAAGTCTACCTCAAGCTTGCCTCTTTTCTGTCTTTTCTTTAGTAACATTTTTGTGATAGAACAACAGTGACATTGTTTTTGTTCACTATTCACTCTGCTAACTTGATGTCAGTTGGTAAAATAACAGATATTGTTCACAAATGATATCATTCTACATATATGATTGTAAAGATGTAATTTTTTTACATATTGGTGTTTATACATATTAAATTTTAGGAACTAAATGGCTTTGTGTATCATAAATATTGCCTAAACTTGAAAGTACAAGCTTGGTTTATCTGGTGGTGGTGGTGTGGTACGGTAATACTTGGACGTACTCTTATATTTTTGGCATTTTTGTTGCTTTGGAGTTTTTGGTTGCTGCTCTCAACTTAATCTAATTTCTATAGGTCCTTCTAAAGGGGGCATGCCTTGAAGAATTGAAGAAATTAAAGCATGTTGTTCAGTATGCAAGCTTTGCAGCATATCATCTATCACTAGAGACCTCATTCCTTGAAGATGAAGGCGCAATGCTTCCTAAACTTCCTGTAGGGCCTTCAGTTACATTGCCTAAAAAGTTGATAGAGGCTGATGACTTAGTTTCAACAACTTCTAGTTTGGCTGCCCCGAGTGCTTATAGTCATGAGAAAGATGGCTCAAACTGCGAACTTGACACAAAGAACCTGTCTTTATCCTCAGATATTAAACATTTGGACAAAGGTATTTTGGAGCCAAGTTCTGATCTACAGACGCACAGTGATTTTTCTGAACAAACTAACTCTTGTAATACTGATGCCTTTTCTGCTCCGTGTTCTGAGAACAACACAGGCTTAGCTTTTGGATCCATTTCAGATGTTTGTGTTTGTGGGTTAACGGGTTCATACCCTGGATTTTGTTGTAAGCAGCTCACTCCCCTTTCACCTTTACATACTGATATAAGCAATCACCAACGTGAGGTGCTGGAGAAATCAGTTAAAGAAAGAAACAACTTTGCTAGTGACAGGTTTCTTCGATCAGATGAACATAAAAAATCAGATAGTGCTATCAAGAATGAGGTTCCTGGGGATTACTTTTCCACGGCTGACAATCATCAGAGCATATTGGTTTCTTTATCTAGCACTTGTATAAAAAAAAACAGAGTTTGTGAGCGCTCTCAGCTTTTCCGCATCAAGTTTTATGGTAGTTTTGATAAGCCTTTGGGGAGATATCTTCGTGATGACTTGTTTGACGAGGTATTTTTTTTGTGCCAATGGACCGTGCAACTCTATTCTATGTTCTTTACACATTCTGAACTTTTCTAAATTTTCTCTCATCATCATCAGACAAATTATTGTAAATTCTGTAAAGAGCCAACAGAAGCCCATGTTAGGTGTTATACTCACCAGCAGGGCAGCCTTACTATTATGGTCAGGCGACTTCCTTCGATGGAGTTACCTGGTGAACATGATGGAAGGATTTGGATGTGGCATCGATGCCTCAAGTGTGAAAAAGATGAGGATGGAGTTCCACCAGCTGCACGCAGAGTAATTATGTCAGATGCTGCATGGGGGCTCTCTTTTGGGAAATTCTTGGAGCTTAGCTTTTCAAGTCATGCAACTGCTAACCGTATTGCAAGTTGTGGTCACTCTCTACAAAGAGACTGCCTTCGTTTTTATGGGTATTTGATGCTTGATAAGAAAGTTTGAACCAACCTCCAAATGAGTTGACTTCCAATGCAAATTTCAATTTCTTTCTTTTCTTCTGCAGGTTTGGCAGCATGGTTGCGTTCTTTCGCTATTCTCCTGTAGATATTTTATCTGTTTGCTTGCCACCATCACTTCTGGATTTCACTTGCCAGATTCAGCAAGAATGGTTGAGACAGGAGGCAATTTTGGTATTTTGTATTCTTTGCATATAAGTTTATGTGTACATCAAGTTCAAAAGCTTTAGTAATAGATTGTGACTTTTTGCTCCCACAGGTATCCAACAAAATAAATATCTTGCATAGTAAGATATCTGATGTTCTCCATGTGATTGAGAGGAAGATTACGACATTAAAGGATAAACCTTTAGAAGCAAGCATCTATAGACACATTATCAAGCTGAAGGGTTTGTTAAAAATGGAAAGACATGAGTATGATGTAAGTTGCAATGACACTCGTTCTTTAAGTTTTGATTTGAAGTTTTAAGCCTTGTCATGATAAATCTTTTGAGGGCAAATCCATATTGATTAAAGTTTCCCTCTTATGTGGTAACAGCTCTTGCTTCAACCAGTTATGGTTGGGAATATTCAACCCTTTCAGGAAACATTTGATATCTTAGATCTCAATCGGCTGAGACGTGCACTTCTACTTGATTCTTACATATGGGATCGTCGACTCTATTCATTAGACTTGTTGTCCAAAGAAAAAAGTTGTACCATAATTGATTCACGACTTACGAATTTTTCACCTAGAACCAATCTGAGAGAACAGAGGGAAGAAATACCTAGGAAAGGTAGAACATTTGAGGACTTAGCTGGAGATGTTACTGCAAAGTCATCGCCCCTTTTAGGAACTGATAAATCAAGTTTTTCAAAGCAGCATGAAGAACTTAGCTTCCAGGTTTTGGAGTGTAATACAAACATGGTTGAAACTGACTTGTCCATTGAGGACTGTTCGAGCTCAGCAGGTTTTAACTCTGTGTTTGTTCAATATGATGACTGGGATGATACATCAATCTTTGGTGAGTCTAATCTCTCAGACAAAATTGATTTGGCATGGAGTGGTTCAGGTCAGTTAGTGATGGATCAACCGAAAGGTAGTTCAGAAGCTGATGCATTAGTAATTTTGATGGATTCTCCATGCTACAGGAAGGTAAAATCCCCATTAAGAGTATATTCATTTGACTCTGCTTTAAGGTTCCGTAAAAGAATACACGGTGGTTTTCTTCCTGCTTCATTGCATATACCTTCAGTAAAATCATTTGATTCCTCTGGCGATCTTGCAAGCATGGTAAGGGACCCAATTACAAGTATGAGAAGAGCTTACTCACAAAATTCTCCTAGGTTAGTTCAGAGATTGGATGATCTTCTCAATCACAAACCTGTACATATCTCACCAGTGTTGGAAAAGATGACTGACAGGGCACGGTTACTTCTACCTCAAAATGCTCTTGATGATATTGTTATTGCAGTTTATGATGATGAGCCCACCAGCATAATATCGTATGCTATGGCTTCCCAAGAGTATAGTGACTGCATAACATCTAGTTTGGATGAAATTGAGGACTTCAGTATGGTGGGAAAAAAAAGTGTTGGAAATTATGGTAGCAACAACAATGTCGGTACAAGATTAGCAGCTCAACAACCAAAATTTCAGTATCATTCTCATGTTGGACATGATGAACCTCAACTATCTCAGATGAACCTATTAGATACGAAAGAAACACATTTCAAAATTTCTTTTGAGGATGAGTATTCAATTCCTTCAGACAAGGCAAAGTTTTCTGTTACATGCTACTTTGCAAAGCAGTTTCATGCATTTCGGAAGATATGCTGCCCAAGTGAATTTGATTATATACGTTCCTTAAGCCGCTGCAAGAGATGGAGTGCACAAGGTGGTAAAAGCAATGTTTACTTCGCCAAGTCATTGGATGAAAGATTCATAATTAAGCAGGTCACCAAAACAGAGTTAGATTCGTTTGAGGAGTTTGCTCCACAATACTTCAAGTATTTGACGCAATCCATAACTTCTGGTTGTCCCACCTGCCTTGCTAAAGTCCTTGGTATTTATCAGGTCACAGACTGCCACCATCATACTTTAGTTTGCAAACATATAATGTAAAAGCATCACTGTAATGATTTGTCTCTTATATGTATCAGGTGACTGTCAAGCACACAAAAGGCGGGAGGGAAATGAAAATGGATGTTATGGTAATGGAGAACCTCTTTTTTAAGAGGAATATTTCAAGAGTTTATGATCTCAAAGGTTCTCTACGCTCCCGTTATAACCCTGATACTTCAGGAAACAACACAGTTCTACTAGATTTGAATCTGTTAGAGACAAAACCAATATTTCTGGGAAGCAAGGCAAAGAGAAGTTTGGAGCGGGCTGTATGGAACGATACTTATTTTCTCACAGTAAGAAATCTATTTCATTTTGATTCTGATAACTAAATTGTTTACTATGTTTTATTTCTTAATATGAATACCTATCAAATTTCAAATTTCTTACTATTTAATGTGAATTGGATAATTTGATCATGCCTATTCGAACTTTCAGAACATATCTCGGGCTGGCTTTCACCGAGAAAAAAAAAGGGAAAGAAATCAAATTTCAAACATTGGTGTGCCTTCGTTGATGCTCATTTGACACATGTGCCTTTTTTTTTTCTCCAAGTTACTGGAAATACCTTGGATTTTACCTGCTATATTTGACCCTTTAATGGAATACACAATGGAGTTATTTGTTTTTCATTTGATTTAATTACTCCAAACACTTATTAGGTAGCATAGTCATATCTTATCTTTAGTAATTATCTATTATTCATGGGCTTGTTAGGTTTTTTAATGTATGTTGTTAGTTTGTGCAGTCATCTTACTCATCATAACTAGATGTATGGTTGTATTTGAATTCATGATACAACCATTTCTAAACCTTAACCAATGATAACAAGTTAACTCACCAATCTAAAAGACTTTGTTTTGCCCTGGTAATCCAAGGGCAATGAACAACATGATGATGTGGAAGGCAGGAGGTAAGATATTTTCTTTGTTATATGGCGTTGCAGGTTTCCCTTTGAAATCTTTCCTTAGAAATAAATGCTGTTGCAGCATGTTTAAAGCAGGTCATGAGCAAGTTCGTTAGCTCGAAGGGTTACCAATGCCTATACAATCTCATAGCTAAATGTTTCAGAATAACTAGCATAGTCATATGAGTTAAAGGGGCCAATCATCTTCCAGCATGTAACAGTGGGATAACCCTGTAACTTGAACAATGGTATACATGTAAATTATTCTGCTTTCTTTCCAAAGATCAATGCTTGTGGGCTTCTTTAGTTTATGAGCATAAATTTCTGTTCATCATAGTTAGAAGTCCCAACAACATAAGAAGATGCTTCCCTTTTTTATTTACTTGAAGTCTCTTTTTTGCAGTGTGTTGATGTCATGGACTACTCATTGCTGGTTGGCATTGATGAGACGCAAAAGGAGCTAGTTATAGGAATTATAGACTTCATGCGGCAATATACATGGGACAAGCAACTTGAAACATGGGTAAAAGCTTCCGGCATCCTTGGTGGCCCGAAAAATGCAACTCCAACTGTAATTTCTCCAGATCAGTACAAGAAAAGGTTCAGGAAAGCCATGTCAAATTACTTCCTCACTGTCCCTGACCAATGGCTCTTTTGAGTCCTTTCTCCAGCTGCAAGATACATTTTCACGCATTGTTTCTATAGAATTAGAGTTGAAGATATCATCGCAAGTTATTCTACAAAGATGAGAGTAGTCATCTCATCGCACTGTAGATCATCAACATATTCAATTGCTCTACTTGTATCATGCTTTTGAATTGGAGATGTTGGACCGAATCGTCTGGGCATCAAGCATAATCTTGGTATGCCTAGATGCTAACTTGGAGCTTGATCCCTCACATTCTTGTAGTTCATTTTTATACTCAAAAGTGTAAATTCATTAAGTTTCTTCATCGTCACTGATTATGCTGACATACTCGCGAGCTTATAACATGCATAAAGCATCATGACTTGCAATCTTAGGAGCAGAAAGTGTCATAACCGGGAGTGTTGAAAGCGACTCTGGTTTTGGATGGCAGCTTGAAAGTTTTATCTTGCAATGAGGCAAAATTGACTGTTCACTTCATCAAATGTAACGAGTGAAACAGAGATTTTCTCATTGCTTTCCCAACTACATTTCCTTTGTGTGTCTGTTTTGATTCAGTATTCTCTGCTAGGCTTATCGGGTCTTTTCTTTTGTTCCAAAGTTCCTTAAAGAGGATGTGTGCAGTCAAATAGCTCTTGAATTAGTAAAATGAACCTTGTGGTTGTGTTTTTTTCATATCACTGTTTTATGTAAACTGTGAGCTGAAGTCACACAGGAAAAGAACATTTTCTTTCTGCACACTAATAATTTCGATCAGAAATATAGTACAATGATAAGATTGTTTGTTATTATTTGATTGTCTAATGATCCCACATGAACGCCTTTATTCAAAATCTCAAAAATCTTTTTTGAATTTGAGAAATTTCCTTTCGGTTTGACAATTCATAATGGTATAGGTTTAAGCAAAGGATATTTTTACAAACAAAGGATATTATATATATATATATATATATATATATATATATATATATATATGTTTAAAATGATAATATTTTTTATATATTGATTCTATAAATTATCTCGATAATGGGAAGTCCACTCTATGATTTATATCTTTATTAACTGGAGGGATAATTTATAAACAAAATATCAAGTAATATATTATAGAATTATTAACAATAGAAGTTGATTTTGTAAAGGTTACTAATCAAGTGTTATGACTGAAAAATTTTATTATAAGATTTGGCATGATCAAACTAAATTATTAAGTCATTGAAAATACTTTGTGCTATATCATAGTATCTTTTTTTTCTAAAAATAATAAATACTATTGTAACTCTATGTATTATGATATAAAGTACTTGATGGTAAAAGAAAAGAGTCTTAAAATAACTCATGTCAATTAATAATTTAAGTTTTATTATAGTGATTATTGATCAATTCACATATGACTTATAGCAAGTTCTTGTTATCATTGAGTGTTGCATTTTAGGAATGTAACATACCTCAGGGTGATGTATGGAGAGTCGAATTCATTGAGCTTATTGAAATTCTTATTAATTATGATATATATTCTCAATTTTTTTTTACTATTGTTGAAAACTTTTGGTATATCTTATAAAATTTTATGAAGGTTAGATTCTCACATGTTTTGATAACGAGCAACATGGCCGTAAATTCGTTAGCTCTTCAGATTGGATAAACTACATTAAATATGAGAGCAAGATTTTCTGCAAGATTTGAAAACTTCGGTTTGTTTGGAGTCGAAGAACATCGATGTTTATAGCTCTTTATCTATAATACAGTCATGTTTATTTTGGTCTGTGAAAAAAATATTACAAATGAATATAATAAAAGTCTCACATGACTTAGGTATTATCAGCTAATTATATAATATATAGTCTTTATTTTTTTAGGAATGGTAATATGGAGGTTGCTAAGTATAACCCCTATTATATATAGTCTATAGTCTTTATTTTGCAATGATCCTCTTTCCATCTTTGTTGAATTAATGAAAAAAATAACCCCTATTATAATTAATTCAATCTATCTATTTTCTAAAGTCTAATAAGAAGGATTAATGTTTGTAATTTACTAAGTACATATTTATAATTTATATTATTTATCAAGTGATTGTTGATATATTTACTTATGGAATCTCGAGTTAAACGTTTTCTTTGATCCATTATTTGTTTTACAAAAGTCCTTAAGGGATCATAAAAGATTTTAAAGAGATTGATCATTTACGTACCACACAATTTAAGTAAATTTAATTAAATCTATGATATATGATTATCGAACTCAAACGAAATTATTAAGTGGCTTAAATAAATTTGATTCCAACTTAATACAAATCACGTTTTGTACACATATAGTATCACAATATATTATATTGATTGCCACATCCTTCTCATCTGTTGTCGGATCTCTGTGATCGCTATTTCACTGAACTCCTCCATCATTAATTATGAGTTGCCCCACATGAGCAATTTTTTAGTGGTACAACCTTAGCAATCAATTTCAAAGTTGCATGCTTTAAGGTTTTCATTCTGTTTTATTACAGCATAAATACAGGAGAAAAAGAAAAAAATAATAAAAACAAAAAGACGATGACAAGTAATGAATCATTCATTATAACTAATTACAGTATATAGATTTAGTTTCAAGTTGCTAAAATATGGAAAAGATAATACATTTTCACAAATAATTGAGATGTTTCACATACCTTCCACCATTTGGATGAGAGTAAATTACTAACGGGTGCTTTATCCATGCCAAGCCGTGTCAAATGTGCAGTCCTTCATTTATTACTCATCTTCGTTGGCTTTTCGATCTTAACACACACACACACACACATATATAAAATTTAAAATTATATATAAATATTTATAATTTTGAAAGAGAAGAAATTTGTAGGTAAGTAAATGTTTATAAAATCAAAATAAGTCCATCATAATTGAAGACCTAATCAAGATTAATATAATTTAAAGAAATCATAAACCTAAAAGTTGTAAAGCCTGAAGACTTTTTACATATGTCAAAAGTGTAAAGAGAACCTCTATATGAACTTTTTATATATGTCAAAAGTGTAAAGATTATTAATATGTAAATTTTAGAATTAGATTGATTTTGTGATTGAATATGAACATGAGTAAGTTTTAATTTATGACTCAAATTAAGAGTTTTTCAACTAATCAAATTGTTACGTGAATGATTAAATCAAGCACATGAGTAATTATTATAAATAGTTCGAAAAAGCAATGAAGCTTCCAAAATCACTATATATTATGATAGTTTAGGTTTTACCCTTTTTTTCTTTTTACAAAGTTCAATTTAAAGGAGGATATAAGAGAAAACTAAATTCTTAAGGGTTAGATATCTCCTTTATTATTCTCTCCTTTCTAAATTATTTTGGTTCCACCAAAATTTCACCTCAAAAGAATTATTTCCTAACATGGAACTAAAACATTGTCCCAAAATTTTATTATCATAGATTTCCCAAACTATTTCAATTTGCATTACGGATTTCTAAAGGTCTAATTCTTTAGTTTAATCACTCATTCATGAAATCACATTCCCATATCTACTTGTCACCTAATCTCTTATCATACTTGGAACATAGCTAGTAAACTATAAATCTAAGTTAAATGGAGTGGATATATTTTCCTTAGAGTTAAGAAATTATCTCTTGTTTCATTTTAAATTTTCTTTAGCATAAACTAAAATATCATATGAAGAAAAAAAAATTATTTTTTAGTAGGAATATTGCATGAATGATAGGTTATGACTTCCCCCATAGTAGAGCAAGAATAAGTTTGTTCAAGAAATATAGGCATATGTATAGAGTGAAGATAAATTTTAAATATGAAGCCTAATTCATCAAATAATAAAAGAAAAAACATTGAAAACATCTTTCTCAGAGAGAAAAACATTAAATCTAGCTAATGGTGTAAATATATTATGGAGAGACAATAGATTAAGAGAATAAGAAAAAGATCTTAATGCTAGAGGAAAAAATATCTTTTGCTATAAAGAATCCTAAGGATCTAAGCCAGTTTACATACTTTGGAAACATCTTGAATTGAGATTGCAAGACATCTGTTCAGATAGAAAAATCAAAGTATTGTGTGAGAAAGGAGAAATTTTTGTGATGGGTTGATTTTTATCCAACCGAGTTTATGGAAAAGGAATCCTACATTTATTAAAATCCCCAATTATCTTCATAATCCTATGAAATTAAGGCAAATAATATCTTCTTTAGGAACTCCAATTAACAATCCCAATTATTATACTTTCACTCAATTAGGTAATTAGAGATTAATCCTTAAATATCTTCATAATCTATGAAAAAAGGGAGAAATCATATATAAGTGTAATAATGTACTACTAGTCCAAGATTAAACCAAATAAGAAAACAAAAAATCAAGGAAAAAGTAAAAAAACAAAAAAGGTTATATTGAACTTATAAGATTTTAAACTACTCTTGGGCTTAAGCTCTATAGGTCTAAACACTTAAGACTTGAATGAATTTACACATATAAATGTCATCTATTTATAGGTGTAGAATAACATTTTAAACTAAGAGATCCTATCTCTATAACTCTATCTAATCAACTTATGTAAAAGATAAAATATAAGAATCTTAAAATCCTCCAAAAGATAATATTTTAAATCTTAATATTCCCTTTTAAAAGTATACTTTCATAGATAAGTCTTGACTTACTTTGAAACTCTTCAAATGATCTTCTGAAAAGAGATTTGATAAAGATATCTATGATATTATTTTGCTCTTAATTTCATGACCTTAATAACTCCTTCAAGTGTCTTTTTCTAGATGATATTATGTTTAATTTCAATATATTTGGTTCTTATATAACAAATTAGATTTGTAGCTAATTTTAAGGTATTTTAATTATTATACTGTAAAATATATGATTTATTAATTTGATAGTAAACATCCTTGATTAAATATCTTAACTATATATATTCTTGAGCAATAAGCGAGGAAACCTTGTATTTTACTTTAATTGTATAATGAAAGATCGATTGTTATTTCTTATTATATTATGAGATATACACAAAATCATATGAAAATATATAGTCAAAATTGGATCTATGATTATCTAAATTACCTCATAAACTAGTATCTATATAATCATGCAATTCATGATGAATGGTCTTCTTATAGGATAATCCCAAATAAAGGATATAATTCATATGTTTTAAATTCTCTTTGTTGCATCAAGATGTGATTTCCTTAAAAATTACATAAAATGGCTTACAAGATTAATTAAAAATATAATATCTTATCTTATATTTATTAAGTAGATGAGACTATCAATGAGAGCACGAAAAGATCGAGAGTCAGAAAGAACAATACTATTATTACAACTTATATTTGCATCAAGTGGAGTATAAACATTCTTATTTTAATTAATTCTAAACTTTTTAATAACTTTTTTTGCATAGCTAGTTTAAGAGATAAATATATATTTTTGTATATTTATCACCTCCAAAATAAGAAAAATATTAAGTTTCTCCAAGAATTTTATTTCAAATCGAAGAGAAACATCACTAAAAAACTTTAAAATTTTGTCATTTCTGATAATAATCATACCATCCACGAAGAGTAATAATGAATAGGTTTTCTTTCTTTTTAATAAATAAGCTAGGATCTAAATAAGTAGAAAAATAATCATAAAAATATAAGTATCAATTAATTTTTTCACACCATA